TCAATTATAAGTGTTGGACATCAACCATCTATAATTTTTTTTTTTTTTTTTTTTTTTTTTTGTGTTGTCTGGTCCTGAATTTGTGAATTTTGTGGTTTGTTTGTGCTTTTTTGATGTCATTTTGGTTAATTGATTACTGTTACTACGAATCTTAACGTATATATTGCTAGATATATGCTAACCTGAATAATTTCGAACAGTTTCGTAAATACTCTGTTTCGCTTAATTGAAAATAAACAAATGAATAGGAATGAATGAATAGGAATATAATTTTTTTTTTATAGGAATGTGTACATTCCTATATATTTACTTCCTTTTTTTTATATAAGTAATTTTGAATTGTATTTTGGAATTGTAATTTGAATTGTATATTTTAATTGTAGGCCTAATTATGAATTGTGTATAGTAATTTTTTTTAATTCCCTTGTAAATATAACAATTTCAGTCTTTCCTTTGTTTGACTGCTGTTATATAATTTAATGTTTTATGATTGTGCAATAAATACCTTAATGAATAAAAATAGTAGGCCTATTTCAAATAAATCAATTATCAGAGTCATTATTATACTTTTTAAAATATCAACAATTATTTTACACTATTTGCAAATAAATTTGTTTTATTGTATTAGCTATAAAATTTTAATTGGTGATTTTAGGTGAGAAAATATAATAATAGGCCTATTCCTATATAGGGCCTATTGATGTAAGATCACATACTTTTTTTCCGACTCCTGAGTCTCAGCTTGGTCGGCACACACTGGGCAGGCCTCACTCTTTGTCAATTAATCGTACCTATCATTGTATTTAAAATTAAAATTGAATTATTGTTGTAGATCCATCTACCCTGAATTTAAATATTACAGAGGTTACTATAATATCTAACAATTTCAGTGTTTACATTCTGGGACGTGGCGTACGTACGTACGTGTGTTGCGTAAATGAGTACGCGCAGACTGTTGAAGGTATGTTAACCAATCAACAGCGTCAGCGGCAAATCAAATTAAAGCGCTTCGTAACCAAGGCACAGCACACACATCCTTGGCAGGGCGTATAAGCCCAGTGAAATAGTTCAGTTTTACTTTGCTATAAAAATCACCTTTCCCGTGGGTATATTTTGGTAAACTTTTTGTATGTTGTAGATATAAAATTTAATTATATATATTCATAAAAAAAAGTTTTTTTGCAATTATGTCCAACTTTGGTGCTTCAAATCCGTATTTCTGGTGGACTATCTAGGATGGCAGCTATTTTGGAATTCAAATGGCCGCCATAAAAATCCATCGAAAATTGAATATTTTGGCACGTAACTCCACTTCTATTTGGTGAAAAACGCTAAATGTGATTAGACACGAAATTGTTGCCATTTCGGCTACGAAAAAATTAAGCAATTAACAAAATATTGATTTTTTTTTTGGCTTCAGTGACCATCATGTTGTGTCTATCTATGTATATATTTTTGACAATTTTCATGGCAGCCATCTTCAATTTCAAAATGGCTGCCATCATAGCTTTTTGAAATCATGTTATTGGACTCAGTTGACACAAACTATATAATTTCACACCAAATTTAGCATTTTTCACCAAATAGAAGTGGAGTTACATGCCAAAATATTCAATTTTCGATGGTTTTTATGGCGGCCATTTGAATTCCAAAATAACTGCCATCCTAGATATATGAAAACATGTATATTGCACTCAAAGAGCACAATAACATATGCTTAAATACCAAATTTAGCTTTTTTCATCAGAGAAGTGAAATTACAAACTAAAATATTCGATTTTTGAGGATATTTATGGCGGCCATCTTGAATTTCAAAATGACTATCATCCTAGCTTTTGGAAACTATATTTATTGTATTCAGAGCGCCCAAAATCATATGATTAGTTCCAAATTTATCATTTTCCATAGAGGAAATGTGGAATTATACAGAACAATTATTTTTTTACCATTTTTAAGGCGGCCATCTTGAGTTTCAATATGGCTACCATTTTACGTTTTCGAAATCTCATTGGCTTCAGTGACCATAATAACATATAGTTAGGCACCAGATTTGCCCGTTTTCATTGGATATAAGTGAAGTTATGAGTCAATATCATAATTTTGGCGGCCATTTTGAAAATGGCTGCCAAAAAAATATGTTCCGCCCTTTTTCTGGAGGTTCTCCCTCGCTCAATTTCTTACTTATACCCTAGTGATGCTAAATCAGCAGTGAAACCTTAATCCCAGAAAAATGGTCACGTGGCCCCTGATTTTCACTATACTATGGTGCCAATTTTTATAGAATCTATCAGCAGATTTCCTGGAAACTCAGTGAAACTATCAATACCTAGGTACAAAATGTAGTCTAGAGCTAATATATTTCATTTGCCCACAATGAAACTTTAGGGGCATCATGTGGGCTAAGTGTCCTAACTGAGGTGTGAATTTTTCAAAAATCGAGATATATACTTTTGTGATATTTTGGGTCAAAGGTCAAGGTCACGTGACTTGACCTATATAATTCTTACTAGTCTGGACATCATCGAGTTGCATATCATTGGAAAGAGAATGTTTCTTTCTATCTAACGGTACCAGAATTTTTCCAATACGTTGAGTTTCAAGAGAGATATCAACAGTTGTCTGTCAGAGATGAGTTTTTTAGCCAAATCTCATGAAAATGTCAAATTGCTCTAACTCATCAGAAAATGCTGGCGCGGAGCCAAAAATTTCACTGTAGCGTTATCTCTGGTAGAACCCCCAACATGCAAAATATTGGGCGATTTGAAGGGGCAAAAAAGTGTGTTGGATTCATATGGAATGACTCTATAGACAATTTTATCCGAAGAGTGTTGCACCATGTATGTGCAGCACGAAACTAAATAGTAACTAGATTTTAACTCGTCCACTGAGGACGAGTTTGGTGATCCGCCGTACTTTGACCCTCAGGAAGCGCGCGTGGTGCTGATTGAAAAGTTTTGTATGCTAAAATATGCTTTAATTAGTTTTTTGAAAAAGAGTAATTTTAAGCATTTTAAAAGATTTACGCATGCGTACGCGTACGTCTTGACGCCCGTGAGCAGGGTAGTGGCACATAAAGTTGACTCCTGATATGAATACAGTGTAAGGAACAAAAATTTGTAGTTAACTTTCAGAAAACTTTAATTTAGAAAATGGCCTAATTAAGTATAATTATTGTTTTCGTTAAATTAGATGGAGTTTAAATGTGGTTATATTACGCTAGTTTAAAGGTTTACTGTAAGCCTATCAGTTGAAATTACATTACATTTTTAGCATATTTTCACTGCATAGCGGCACAAACGCGCGCAAAAATCCCTATGTTTGATGCGCGCATACGGCATTGATATTGGTCATAAGATGACCGAAAAGAATGGAAATTTGATAAAACAATGTCAGGAACCCAAAATATGTTTAAAAAAAAAAGTAATATCCAGCTTCCGTACGTGCTGCTCACGTAAAATATTTCCGTACGTGATATTCAATCTTGACCTAAAGTTTATGCCTACCGAATATGATTTAAAAACGACAATTGGTTAGAATGATATGATCGATAATGTAAAAACGCAAAGTTGCGCGTAGAGGGTGGTATACACTTTCTCTAAGTATCTCTAAGGAGACGTTCTCTTTATCAGCACCGCAAAATTTTCAATAAAATCTTGGATTACGCTTGAAAATTTACAGTGAAAAATTATACAAAGTATTTTAGTATTCTCAAGGAAAATCAAGGTAAAACGTATTTCAATTTCTTGTGAAAAATGTACGAATTCTCTACTTCAACGACTGACAGCTCAAACGCCCCGCCTACAGATCATGTGACCCCAGACGCGGGTCGTTGTTAATAAGGTGAAACCAGTGTTCATGAAGGTTGATGAGGTGAACACAACAGCAGATTCGTATGTGGAACCTCAGGATATATATAAAGCATTAATGAAAACAGTTGAATGCCGAAATATAACAGGTATATAGCGCATTAAGAATTTATGGAGACTTTATATAGACTCACATCAAGACAGAGTTTGCCTAATAACAACTGGCGTAAACATCCGAGGAAGGAATGTGACAATATATGATAGGAACCCATACCTACCGTACGATACGGATGCTACCCGTATTGTTGTAAAAGACCTACCACTATCAGTAGCAGACGAAGAAATTCAAACATCTCTTATGCGCTTAACTGTAAAACAACGGGGACCGTACAACGTATGAGGCTGGGAGTCGATGTGCAATTGACAAGTTGCCTGAATGGAGATCGGGTGCTTTACGCGGAGACGCTTAAAACACCATTACCAAGGTTTGTAAATGTCTTAAACTTAAAAACCAGAAATTTTCACATGAGCGGGTGAAGTGCTCGAAATGTTTAAAGTACGGACATAATGCTAAAACATGTACAAACCACCTCGTTTGCCATGTCTGTGGATTAGAAGGTCATCGAAGGGACTAATGCAGCGCAGAAAAACTGTTGCAAGATGACTCTAGCGAAAAGCTCATTCAAGAAATGTGGGAACGTGTAGTAGAGGAATTTTAAGAGCGTGATCACTAGTGAAGATGAATCGACATTCAGCGAAATTGAGGAGAGTGAAGAAGGAGATCAAAAGCAAAGTGAACCAATAAATGAAAACAGAAACAAGGGAAGATAGCTTCATGAAATCATCATCTTGGTCTAATAAGCAAGTGAAAGAGAAAGAAAACAAGAATGAATCCAAAGACCAAGCTGAGTCAGAGAAAATCTCCCCAACAATGCCTGGAAAGAAAAGACGACGAAAATCAAGCAAAAGTAAGAAAAATAGAAAAACCAAATATATTGTAAAAAAAAAACAACAAATAAACAAACAAAAAATGCTCGATTGCGTACACTATGCCTTAAGTGATGAATTCACCATTGTAAAATAATCGCTATTATCATTACCAATACAATACAATGCGCAATTTCACTAATAGTTGCCCCAAAGATGACGCCTTTGTCATCATTTTTAATATACTGCAATTATTGGTATCATTGTCCTTTTCGTTATTATTGATATCTTCATATAGATGCATGTATTTATGTGTATGTATGTATATGTGATGTGTGTATAGATAGATTTAAAATTTAAAAAAATAAACGAGAGTATTGACAAAAATGGAAGATACATTATACTAAAAGTTGAAATCAATGGTAAAATATATGTTAATTAAAAATTTTATGAAAAAACTCACGCTAATAGATGCCTGGAGAGATAAAAATCTTCACAAAACTCAGTTTACCTGGCGTAGGAAATGTAGCCAAATTTATATAAGACTTGACTACTGGTTGATTTAGAAAAACATTCATGGCTATAATGAAGTTATATCATGTGATATAAGGCCAGCCATCCTGACTGATCATCAGGCACTCTCAATTAAAATTGGGTTTGATAATTATTATATTATAATAATAGTGCTGTTTTGAAAAGTTATTATTAAAACTCAAAACAATGAAAAACTCTCGGCCCAGACTTACTTAGGGAATTAATAAAAGTTAGAGTTAAAAACGTTTCTATCTTTTATGGAAAAAAAATAAAGAAAAAAACAAAGAAAAAATGAAACTACAAAACCAAATAAAACAGCTAAATGATTCACTTGTAAACAATGTTAGTAACTCCAATGAAAGTATTGAGGAAGAAATTGAAGAAAAAACAAAAATACTGGAAAATATTTATGAGAATGAAACAAAAGGTGCATACATACGTACAAGAATAAAATGGATGGAAGAAGGCGAACGTAGCACTAAATACTTTCTCAATTTAGAAAAAAATAACGGAACGAAAAAACATATCCAAAGTATAAAAAAAACTCAGATGGTGCTGTGTTAACAGACACAAATGTAATTCTACGAGAGGAAGTCAAATTGTATAAACATCTATATACAAATAAGGGGATAAGGAAATCAACACCTATTTAGATACAGTTTATCTGAGGAAGAAAAGGGTGTATGTGAAGGCATCGTGAATATAGGAGAATGTGATGAAGCAATACGAACAATGAAGTTAAATAAAGCTCCAGGATGTGACGGTCTGACCGTTAAGTTTTATATTTATTTTTGGATAGAAATTAAACAAATTGTTTTTAACGCAATTAACGAGTGTTATTTTAAAAATGAAATGAGCCATACACAGAAACGGGGTGTAATAAATTAATTATACAAAAAGGGGGATAAACAATTATTAGAAAATTGGCGTCCTATCACATTATTAAACACGGATTACAAGATTTTAACACAAATTTTATGTTCAAGACTTCATAAAGTAATTGAAAGTGTTATTAACAATGACCAAAAAGGATACATTAAAGGGGCTAGGGAAAATGTTCGGCTAATTAATGATGTTCTTCATTATACAACTGAAAGGGAAATGGAAGGTGCTATTCTATCTCTTGATTTTAGGAAAGCCTTCGACTCTGTGAGTAGGGAATTTGTATTTAAGGTATTGGAAAAATTTAATTTTGGAGACTCTTTTCATAAATGCATTAATAAAATTTATAATAAGACAGAGCGTGTCATTGTTAATAATGGATGGGTAGTCTGAAAGTTTTGAAATGAGAAGTGGCACTAGACAGGCGTTGTTATTTATTCTGGTAGTGGAAGTCATGGCGTGTGATATAAGAAATAATGCACACTTTAAAGGAATATCAAAACCCAGTCAAGGAAAATATAATAATAATAATAATAATTTTGGCTTATATAGCGCATTATGCTAAAGCCTCAATGCGCTTAACAGTAAAAATAAAATTCGGGGAAAAAATTAAGAAAAATACAAGTTAAAAAGGTGAGTTTTTAAAGCTGCCTTAAAATCATCAATGGAAGTTGCCTGTCGGATTGTAATAGGCAGAGCATTCCAAAGAAAGACAGAAGCCCAAGAGAAAGAACGACTACCATAATGCTTTGTCGACGGGCGAGTGGAATAATATAAATATGAGGAAGTGCGTATTGCACAACTTGCAAATGACACTGTACTGTTTGTTGGAAATGAAAAGAGTATTGAGAATGGTCTAAATATTGTTGGTAATTTTGGTAAAGTATCTGGAGTCTAAACAAAGGAAAAACAAACGCCATATGGATCGGAAAAAATAAAAATAAAAATGAAAAACTAAGTAGCCTGAATTGGGTAGATGAACCAATTAAGATTCTGGGTATATATGTACAATAAAAAATATGACGAATTAAATTGGGGTAGTAAATTGATAAGCTTAGAAAGGTTGCTCAATACTTGGAAAGGAAGTAACTTAACGTTTTTTGGCAAGGTTACAATATTAAAGAGTCTGGCTTTGTCTAAGCTTACGTACAATGTTTGTATAATTGATGTGCCAGATGACGTAATTTTCAAAGTAAATAAATTAGCATACGATTTTTATGGAATGGAAAAACGGAAAAAATAAAAATAAAAACGTTAATCGGTAAACTGATTGAAGGAGGCAAAACTATGCCAGAGTTCTTTACACGTTAAGGCGCTCAAGATTACAAGGGCAAGGAAAATACTGTGTAGGAAACACGTAAGGTGGAAACTATTACCATTATACTATTTAAACAAATTTGGAAACGAAAGAGTGATTCTGAGTATGTCAAATGTTATTCTGACAAGTAACACGGGCCTTGATACTATACCTTCTTTTTATTTCAATGTTATAAAATGCTGTACCAATAAAAAAAAGCAATACAAATAAAGATTATGTAATTAACACGTATGAAAAAGTAATTAAACAAAGCTTATGGGGTAATAAAGCAATTACATATAGGAACAAATCCCTGTTCTATAGGAACTGGAGTACATAAGTACTGGAGTAAATAAGATTAGTGATATAATTATTTTTAATCGTCTAATAAAACCTAACGAAATTCGTGAAAAACTATGTATTAAAAGAAATTGGATGAGTGAATATATTTCACTAATTGAGGCTATTCCAAATGAATAGGTGAAATTAATTAAGCAAAATACAAAACATGATATACATGTGAATTCAGATGAGAGTATGGTAATTAACAACATAGTTCAAATGAAAACAAAAGCTATTTATTTAAGTTTTATTAACAACAGTTCTATTCCTCAACAAAGTCAGTGTAAATGAAATAAGGTATTTAACAATGAAGATATAAGTTGGAATGATGTTTGGAAGCGAAAAGTGAAAAATGAAAAAAAAGAAAGAAAATATGCACAATTGAATTATAAATTATTAAACAAAGTTGTTCCCACCAATATGCAACTATATAATTGGAAGCTAAAAGATATTATTAATACATGTAATAAATGTGGTGAATTGGAGGATGAAAAACACATGTTCTTTGAATGCATAAGTAATAATATGTTATGGAAAAAAATAGACAATATTTTCAAAAACATTGACAACAACAGTAGTTCTTTTAAAGAACTCCTCCTGGGTTGTGACAGTAAAATTAAGAACCAAATATATTCCATTGCAGTCTACTCTATTTACAAAATTAAAATTTTAACTGAGCTGAACAAGCCAGTATGTACGAACCCTTGGATAGCGTTTAAGTATATTGTAAAGGATATGAACGCAATGGGCTTATTAAATAAGCTCTTTTGACTGTCCAATAATTATATGCCCTTTATTATACAGATTATCATTATTATTATTATTATTATTATTATTATTATTATTATTATTATTATTATTATTATTGATCGGATGGTAAAATTTCAATATCATCACCATTACCAGTGATATTGTCAACATAATGCGGTAGCTCTTTGGTTTGATTTGATGTATATAGATAATTAATACATACGTAAATTTGTATGCACGTATGTACTGTATTTGTGAATTTAATATGTGTATGTGTGTGTGTGTGTGTGCGTGCGTGACCATATGTTTAATTATGTGTGTTTTTGTATGCGTATATGTATATATATATATATATATATATATATATATATATATATATATATATAATGATGTACGTTTTGAAAACGTTTGAAAATGACTAAAAGAAAGTTCTCGACTTTTTTTACAAATTATTATAAAGATTATTATATTAATTATTGATCTGAGATGGAAAATGGTATTGGCTTCATTAACATTATCAATGATATTACATCAGCTGTTACCTTTCTGTTTTGTACATAAAAGAAAAACAATTAGGAATTGTTGAAATAAAAAAAATGTATATGTATAAGTTGGCCTATATGGTATTGGTGTGTATGTATGTGCGCGTATATATACAGTATATACATGTGCATGTGTAAGTACATTTTTGAAATGAGATGTATTTTAACATATTCAATGAATTACATTTTGGAACCTAAAAGAAAAAGACTATATTAATGTATTTTTTAGAAATTAATAAAAGTTTAAAAGATGAGTTCAAAAAATTACAGTCAGCCATTGCGGACTCACCCTTTTTGAGTGAAATTTAGTTTTAATTTATATATTTTACGTCATTGACAGAAAAAAATCAAAATGTAACAAAAAGAGATTTGAAAACCTTATTGTGACTATTCCAGGCCAAGCTAAATGTTCATTAAAGCGCGCATGTGCGTAGCTCGCTACAATTTAGAGATTTTTTGGACTCATCTCTCTTTCTCCAAATCTGTGAATTTTCACGACAGAGGGCGGAAGACTATATTTCGACGCTATTAGACTGATATAAAGTTCATATGAAGGGAAAATTCGTATGTCATTACCAACCAACAGGCAATTTCAAATGGCACTTGACAAGTTCAAGTTCGTGTGCCATAACCGTCCGTGAGCGCGTCATGACTTGCTCGTGCGTGTGTGTTAAAATTTGAAAATTATCCAAAT